TCAGTCAATCAATCGATCGATCGTTAGCTTCACTCACTCACTCACTCACTCACTCAATCAAATCGATCGATCGTTAGCTTCCTCACACTCACTCAATCGATCGATCGTTACTCCTCATCACTCACTCACTCAATCAGTCAATCAATCGATCGATCGTTAGCTTCACTCACTCCTCCTCCTCTCACTCACTCAATCAATCAATCAATCGATCGATCGTTAGCTTCACTCAGTCACTCACTCACCTCCTCCACTCACTCAATCACTCAATCGATCGATCGTTAGCTTCGCTCCTCATCCTCACTCACTCACTCACTCAATCAGTCAATCAATCGATCGATCGTTTGCTTCACTCACTCACTCAATCATTCGCTTCGCTCACTTACTCAATCAACCACTCACTCACTCAATCAATCAGTCAATCAGTCAATCAATCGATCGATCGTTAGCTTCGCTCATTCACTCAATCATTCGCTTCGCTCACTTACTCAATCAACCACTCACTCACTCAATCAATCAGTCAATCACTCATTTAATCAATCAATCAATCAATCACTCACTCACTCACTCAATCAATCAGTCAATCACTCACTCACTCAATCAATCACTCACTCACTCACTCACTCACTCACTCACTCACTCAATCACTCACTCGTCTATCGAGGCCTCCAATCCACTTAATAACACACATCACAGAAAACAACCACAAACAACATGATCAATTACTAAAAGGAAGTTGAACTATGAACGTGTGTGTGTGTGTGTGTGTGTGACGTGGCAACAATACAAGGATAACTTTCACAGGATGTTATCATTGTACCAACACCTTCCATTATAAAAAGTATAAATAGCTAGAGTATAGCAGTCAACCTTCGCGTGTGTGTGTATTGGCTCACTGTCGCTAAACACACTGGCAGTCATAACGCTGGACTGTACTTCCTTTTGACTCGTCTGGTATAGAATGATAAGTCCCTATATGTTAAGTTCCTAAGAGTTCTTCCTGGGAATAAAAACAAAAACAAAATAATAAACATCATACGCCCACCAGTAATGTTTAGCTAGTTTCTCTTTGAGTCATATTTACCGTGGGAGAGAATTGTGGGCAAATTTTACTTCATTTCCGGATAAACTGGCGGTTAGGACGGGGCCATCTCACACACACACACACACACACACACTGAGACCCAGACACGCCTTATACTTGCTATGGTGTGTGTGTGTGTGTGTGTGTCTACGCTGTGCTACGTACCCATAACACCTGACAGGTGACACAGGTGACCTCGTCTCCCCATAACACGTGACACAGGTGACCTTGACTCACCCATAACACATGACACAGGTGACCTTGACTCACCCATGACACGTGACACAGGTGACATTGACTCACCCATGACACGTGACACAGGTGACATTGACTCACCCGTGACACACAATATTATGAGAGGGTCGTCTTATATAATGAAATGAAATGAATGAATGAAGGAAGGAAGGAAGGAATGAATGATGAATGAAGGACAAAAGGTTTATGAAAGAAGAATGAAGTAGCCAGCGTGAGTACCTTTAAGGGGAAGGTAAGAAGGAAGTGATTGTGTGAAAGACTGAATAGTGTTACAGCCACTCGTGTCTTACAGTCCAGTGTGTGAGAGAGGCGCTGGGAGTGAGGGGGAGAGGTGAGGCTGAGAGAAAGGACGCTGAGAGGTGAGGACGTGAGGGTGGCAGAGGAGTGTGAGAGGTGAGGCTGGGAGAGGAGGGTGAGGAGTGAGGGTGGGAAAGGAGGGTGAGAGACGAGGAGATGGGATGGGATGAGGAGAGGGCGAGAGATATGGGGCTCTGAGGAATGTAGTGAGAGGATGGAGTGTGGGGGGGAGGGGTAAGGCTCCTCCACCAGTGACGTAACACACTCAGGTAAAGTCGTGTCCTCTGTGATAGGTCACTGGGGGATGGGGGTGTGACGCAGATACTGATGTGTGTGACGCAAAACATAGGATTACAGTCTTAACATACCTGCCAAGAGTGTGTGTGTGTGTGTGTGTGTGTGTGTGTGTGTGTGTGTGTGTGTGTGTGTGTGTGTGTATGTGTGTGTTATGTACCCCATGACACGTGACAAATAATGTTGTATACAGTATAAATAAAACAAATTACAATAAATTCTATACGTTTTTTTATATTTAATTTACGAAGCATGGAAGCATAAATATTTTTGGGGTCTAAGCTTCCTTAACAGTAAATTTTAATATATAGTTTTTGGTTAATAACACCAAAAAAATGTCAGTATCTCGGATTAAAAAACTAAATGTACTAGAAGAGCGGTCCACATGGTATGTAGTGTGGTCCTACGCCTCGCTGAAGACATTACCAAACAAACATAAGTGAGATTGTCTGAAGGTCGGGTTGGCTTAATACTCCTGATAACATAAACATTCTAACGCCACGTAGGGAACTTAAGTCACGTATACTGGGCGTTATGGTGTATTTATATCGGGTGAAAATATTAGTCAAAATGTCTGATCTTAGGGTGATTTAGAAAACATATTTTACGTTTTATAAAAAAATAATAATAATAATATTCAAAGTGGTGTAATGGCCAAGTGTAAGTAAAAAATTCACAACAGTTTTTGTGGTGTTGGGAAGAAATACACAACACCTAAAAACAAAATAAGGGAAATTTTGTTGAATGGCTGCGCTCCCGCGCCCATTAACGTCATCGTAATGAGGTCGAAAACATAATCATAATCACATATCAAAGCAAAACCAAACTATACAACCTCTTATGGTCGCTGCATGGAATGTCAGGACCCTTCTGGATACTGAGACAAATGAGCGTCCTGAAAGAAGAACCGCCCTTGTGGCAAAAGAGCTGACTAGGTATAACATCGACACAGCAGCCATCAGTGAGTCCCGGCTCTCAGTCGAGGGTCAACTCACAGAACAGGGATCTGGCTATACCTTCTTCTGGACGAGTAATCCTGCTGCAGAGAGAAACCGCATTTATGGAGCTGGCTTTGCCATCCGCCAGTCCATCCCACATAGGCTAACTGAAATGTCCGTTGGGGTCAACGAGGGCCTCATGACGCCCCGAGTCCCACTGAATTACTCACGTCATGTCTTTTTCATCAATGCATACACCCCAACACTGGATGCAGAGGATGACATCAAGGAGGCCTTTTACGCCGACCTTGAAAGAGTGCTAACCTTTATCTCCAGACACGATAAGGTTGTACTTCGAGGTGATTTCAATGCCAGAGTCAGCAGACTCCGTACCCGTGTCTTCAGCTGCAGGAAGCTGAAATTATCTACAAAACTACACACAGATCGATCAGTGGTCCTCCCCACTCTGCTGTATGGCAGCGAAACATAGGTCACATACAGAAGGCACCTCAAGGCACTTGAAAACTTTCACCAACGTAGTCTACGCTCCACCCTCCGAGTCCGTGGAGAACATAAGACAACAAATGCCAGTATTCTCGCTGACACCAACTGTAGGAACTTCGAGGCTTCCATTATCCATGAATAACTACATTGAACTGGCCATGTTACCCGCATGGTCGACAATAGACTGCCAAAGCAGCTATTCTACAGTGATCTAACAAATAGTAAACATAAGGCTGGCGGGCAACGGAAAAGGTATAAGGATAGTGTGAAGACAACCCTCAAAAAGTGCCAAATGGGTCACCCTCACCTGGGAAGCGATCACTCCACACGAGGTGCGTCATTGTATCATGGCTGGATGATCGTCATCCGCTGTTCCGAGTGAAAGCAAAGTTGTAAGTGGTACGTCCACAGTTAAGGCATATCCAATTAACGTACATCCAATTATCGTAGATGTACACTTAACGTACATCCACTTAAGGTACATCCAGTTAACATACATTCAGTTAAGGTACATCTGGTTAACGTACAGGTTTTCAAGAACACATTATGTACGTTAAACAAACATTGAATGTACACAGTTAGATTGGCTGTGTACGTGTCACTATGACTGTTATTTTTTAGGAACTGATCCAATTTTTTATGATGTGTTTGAATTTAACTGGTAAAATGAGACTGGTTGTAACTGGTGAGAAGACTGGTGGTCACTGTAGACAGGGGACTGGCATTAAGTAACAGCCACACGACGCAAACAAAGACTGGCTTAGACTGGAAAGAACAGGATTCATCTGACTGTCTTAGAATGGGGTTGCTGGCTGTAACAGGTAACCGGTGTACAGGTGTGTCTTAATGCTGTACAGGTGTGTATAGGTGTCAACATGCTGTGCAGGTATGTATAGCTGTGTCTTAGGTGTCTACATATTGTACAGGTGTGTCTAGATGTGTATAGATACTGTGCAGGTATGTCTTTATGCTGTAATGCTGTACAGGTGTCTAGATGTTGCACAGATGTGACTAGGTGTGTCTATATGCTGTACAGGTGTGTCTAGATGTTGTACAGGTGTGTCTCCCCCCACACATTTCTTTCTTCTTCCTCTCTTTTCCTCCTCTCCTCTTGCCCTTTCTACCGTTAACTCTTTCCTTCTTGCTCTTCTGCTCCTTCATTTATCATTACTCTCTCTCTCTCTCTCTCTCTTTCTCCTTCCTTCCTCTTTCCCCCTTTTTTCCTTCCTTTCCTCCTTCCTTCTCATTATCCCGCTTTCCCTCATTTTCTTCCTGCCCCTCTCCCTCCCTGGCGGCCTCATGTCCTCACAATAGCTCTATGTAATATACTGTCGCCATGTTGTCTGAGGGAACCCTTCCTCCACTCTTTGAAAGTCAACTGAAAAAAAAATACAGTCGTAGCTATATCGCGTAGACGAGTCTTGAGCCCTCTTGTTCTGCCCCAAATATTAATGACTGCCTTTTTCACATCCTCCTCTTGGTCATAAAGTTTAGTAATACAGTATGTGAAATTAAAAAATAAATAGTTTGATATGAGTTGCAGACAGATCTGGTGAGACCTGACAACTGAGTTGCGTGAGACAGCGGGTCCGTATATATATGGCGGAGGTCGCGGCGCGGACAGAGAAACTCAAAGAGACCGGAGTAGTGTGTATCACTTCACCTGGGCAGGTCGAGTAACGCATACGTCGCTCTGGGCAGCTTGACGAGCTGCAGCTGAGTACTCGAGAAATACAATTATAAGTCCTGCAGCGGGCTATACTCTTTGAGTACAAGCTACAGTTTTCGTTACTAACTCAACAGTAATACTTAAGTGTTGTGACCGGGTTACCTTGTGGCCATTATAACATGACTTATTTCTTTAATAAGATAACATAATAACATAAGTGTTGGAGGCAAGAAAGAACTTTTGATAAATAAGTCAGGCCCACTGTGCACCCCCACGTGGCTTGTGGGAGCACCACACCCTCGTCAGGAGGCGGGAGAAGCGAGGCAGCTTTCGGGTGCTGATAGTGCAAGTGGATGGTTGTGGGCAAGACCAAGATGAGATACGAGGAACCTTTCGACGTTGATGCCTTCATCAACAACCTCCTCTTCCTCAAGAAGTACCCAGGGAAGAATGTGAGTACCTCCTCCTCCTCCAAATACCTGTCCCTCCTCCTCTCCTCCACACACACACACACCTGTTACTGTCCCTCCTCCTCTCCTCCACACACACACACCTGCCACTGTCCCTCCGTCCTCCTCCACACACACACCTGTTACTGTCCCTCCTCCTCTCCTCCACACACACACACCTGCCACTGTCCCTCCGTCCTCCTCCACACACACACCTGTTACTGTCCCTCCTCTCCTCCACACACACACACCCGCCACTATCCCTCCGTCCTCCTCCACACACACACCTGTCACTGTCCCTCCATCCTCCTTCACACACCTGTCACTGACCCTCCATCCTCCTCCACAATCCCCTGTCAATTTCTCTCCCTCCTCCACACACCTGTCACTCCCCTATCCCTCTCCTACACACCTGTCACTGACCCTCCCTCCCCATACACCTGTCATAGCCTCTACTTATTTTAATATAATCCATGTACTGTGTTGGGTGTTTTGTCACGTGTCTGTACTACTGCACACTAAGTACACGCCAGAAGAAGTACACCATGTACTTAACACGATATTTAGTAATTCATGTACGACTGTAATGATCATCAGTCAGGTAATTGTTGGGTAGTACAGTACATGTTTCTTGTTACTTAACCCTTATTTCAGTACTGTACACACCTCCTGTACAACTTCAAATCAGTACCTGTTGTATGGTGTTAAGTGAACCATTACTTTACATCCTGTCTGTACATTAACTGTTAACAGGCCTTTATTATTATGTACACACACATCGATGTACACCTCCAATCCACTATGTACGTCTACAACCACCCACCTGTACTGTACATATAATCTTTAACTTACAAAAATCTACGGAATTATATACATTTGCCAGGGAGAGAATATTTATACAAGCCAGTGTTTATAAATTTCCGTCATGTAACACAAACGCGAACACAAAGGTCACGGCTGGACACGCAATGGTCAGATTATGGCATCAGGCACACGAACACACAGCTCTGAATATATCCTAAAGTCAATATTCTGCTACAGGTATACACAGGTGTTTATTTCGTGGTATATACACTAATTAAGAAATGGGAAAACAAATTATAGCGGTTTGATTTCTCTTCGTTTCGTATAAAATTAATAGTCAATATTCCTTTCGCTATAGCAACATCTTTTATAAGAAAGATGTTTATTTATAAACAGGTGTTGATATTCCATATAAAATAAACATATACAGTATAGCGTGTTGTGTTATCGTCTCCTGGGAATAAAATTAATGACCGTCTCTTCGACTCTCATGTTTACATTTTATCTACGGGCGGTGTTGTCAGCTGTACGATAATCCCAACTAAACTTAGTCGCACTACCTACCTAAATATTTACTCGTTTCAGGTTATGTTTACTTATATTACACAAGACTTTACGAATTATTCATGTATGTATTTGTGTGTGTGTGTGTGACAGAAGACCCGTGAATTATTTGTGTTTTATTTAAGTTTTTAATTTATGTGAGGTTTACGATAATTTCTCATACCTGGTGAGAGTTGGTGGGTTGTCTCCAGGGAAGGAAGATAATTCTAGGCCTAATTATTTTTTTCCTTGTGGTGTATCATGATAAATTTAACCTAACCTAACCTACCATAATCTAACTTTAATGAGTCAAGTTACCGTCCTCAAGGGATAAAGTCATCGTCCTCAAAGGGTTAAGTCATCGTCCTCAAGGGGTTAAGTCATCGTCATCAAAGGGTTAAGTCATCATCCTCAAGGGGTTAAGTCATCGTCCTCAAGGGGTTAAGTCATCGTCATCAAAGGGTTAAGTCATCGTCCTCAAGGGCTTCAGTCATCGTCCTCAAGGGATAAAGTCATCATCCTCAAGGGGTTAAGTCATCGTCCTCAAGGGGTTAAGTCATAGTCCTCGAGGGGTTAAGTCATCGTCCTCAAGGGGTTAAGTCATAGTCCTCGAGGGGTTAAGTCATCGTCCTCAAGGGATAAAGTTATCGTCCCCAAAGGGTTAAGCTAGAGACAGTGTGTGTTGATCGTGTGTAGTGAAGGTGGGTAGCGAGTAACGGTGATCACCGCCCCACCACCTTACCCTGACCCACCTCTCGACCACAACCCCTCCCACCACCACCTACGGATTCATCAAATTCCCCCCCTCCTCTCTCTACACACACACACACACACACACACACACACACACACACACACACCCTCTCTCTCTCTCTTACCATGTCTTCCGTTCCTGGAAATTAAGATAGTCTGGTTCATCATCCATACAGAAAACGGGACTCTCACTATACATGATGGCGTCGTCCTGAATTCCACGAACTCTTGAGCTCTGTGTCCCCCGCTTTCCTCTCTACAGTACACCCATCCAGGTCCCCGTTAAAGCCCAATACACCCTGTTTTTACACCTTGTTACATCTTTCGACACTGTACCACGAACTCTTGAGCTCTGTGTCCCCCGCAATTCTCTCTCTCACTACACCCTGCCCCCTCCCCCAAGTCCCTGTTAAAGCCTAGCCTAATACAGACCCTTTTTACACCCTGTTACGCCTTTCGACACGGTATTACAGCCTGTTAAACTTTACTACACCCTGCCATATCTTATTAAACCCCGCTTAACCCTGGTAAACCTTCCTATAGCTTGTTAAACCTTACTACACTTTACCATACCCTACTACACCATCTTACGCCCTGCTACACTCTCCTACACCCTGGTAACCCCTTCCACACCCTCCTACACCCTGATAACCCCTTCCACACCCTCTTACACCCTGATAACCCCTTCCACACCCTCTTACACCCTGATAAACCCTTCCACACCCTCCTACACCCTGATAAACCCTTCCATACCCTCCTACACCCTACTACACCCTTCCACACCCTCTTACACCCTACTACACCCTCAGCAGCTATTACCCCGTTTTATAACAAGGTTCTTCGACTGTTTTATTGCAGTGTCAAACTCACCACGACTCCAGTCCTCTACGAGTGGTTAGAGAGGGAGGATGGACAGTTTTCTGGGGTCCTGTCTGTCTGTCTCGTATGGGGGATATTGCAGCTGACAGGGTGATAATGATAGGCTAGAATGATAGGGGGTGGAACTAATAGGAGGCAATGTATGCATGTTTGTCGGACGGAACACCACCATCGCTTCCATTACCACCAACACTATAATCTCTATCACCATCACTACCACCACCACCTCACCTTCACTATCACCACCACTGCTATCGACAACTCTTCCTCACCATAATCACCGCTGCTATCCATAATTCTCCCTTATCACCACCACCATTACCACTCTTTACTCACACCATCTCCTGCTCCCACCTGAGATCCCTCGTCCGTGAATTGTTGTTCGACACCACAACCACATCCAGCCCATACGACCACGTCCTGATCACTCTATGAACAGCCCAATTTCATCTCGTAGATAAATTGTTTGGTCACTTCCTGTCAATCTCACTCTTGTACTGTACCTGTGCTGAATTGACCCCGCTCACCCCCGTGTTATTATATATTATATTTGTACCAATTATGTCATTTGTTTATTTTAAGTTGTTGTATTTGTTAATGAATCGTTAATTATCATTATTATCACACACGCACACACACACACACACACACACACACACACACACACACACACACACACACACAGAAGAATTCACAGAAATACAAAAAAAGAGAATATTAAAAAAATACAAAACCTCCCCCCTCTCCTCCCCTCGCTCCTCTCCCTCTCCCCCTCTCTCCCCTCCTTCTCTCATCTCTCCCCTCATCTACCCTCGCTCCCCTTTCTCTCCCCTCACACCTTCCCCTCATTTATACATCCTTTGTGTTTGCGTGTGGTTGGGATGATGTTGAGGGAGGTATGTGTGGGAGGAGATGGGGGAGGGGAGGTGCGTGCGGTCACGTGTGTGGGTGCGTGTGGCAGGCATGAGAGTGTGGGAGGGGGGAGGGGGAGGAGGCTGCCCCCCCCAACACCACCCCGACTGCAACCAGATCAATGAAGAGCCACATGAGGTGCAGCCCAGCCAGCCTCGCCCTCCACCTGCTCCTCCCTCCCTCCTCCTCTCTCCACCTCCCCCATCAACATCCCACCATCCTAATGCTCCTTAAAGCTCTTCCTTCACCATCCTCCCCTCACCTACAGCCCATCACCATCCCCTCCCCACCACCTCCTCCCACCACCCCCCACCACCATCCTCCCTCCACCCCACCACCTCTCCCCACCCCCCTGTCCCCTCCCCACCACCTCTCCCACACCCCCCACCACCATCCCCCCCCCACTCCATCGTTCCCCTCCTATCACACTGATCAAACTGGTGTGTGCCCATGACAACCTCTCTCTCTCTCTTTCTCTCTCTCTCTCTCTCTCTCTCTCTCTCTCTCTCTCTCTCTCTCTCTCTCTCTCTCTCTCTCTCTCTCATACACAATGGCCCCTGAAGCATCATGCAGGTTGACGGCACCAACAAGAGCGATCGATCAGTGAAGGAGACGACGAGTAGGTGCTGGGAGAGGCGACCTTGTTCCCCAGCACCACCTATCACCCCCAGAGAAACGAGTAAGGTCCTGGGGATATAAGCTTGTTCCCCAGCACCTCCTGTGACCCCCAGAGAAACGAGTAAGGGTGCTGGAGGAGATGACCTTATCCCCAGCAGCCTCCTATCACCCCCAGAGAAACGAGAAAGGGTGCTGGGAGAAATGACTTTATCCCCAGCACCTCCTATCACCCCCAGAGAAAGGGGAAGTACCTACAATACCCAGATTCACCCTTTAACATTTCCCTACACGCTTAACACTAAATAAAGCGCATGTGTGTTTCCCCGTTAATGATATACAACAGATGGTGGTGGGTTTAATGGCGCCAAATATGTCATTAGACTCTATGGTGAAGTCCAGAATTCCGAAGAGACTAATGAAGTTCTTTGTGTTGACATGAGAGAGAGAGAGAGAGAGAAAGAGAGAGTTTCACGTCAGATAAAAACAGTAATTTG